AAAAAAAAAAAAAAAAAAGAATATCAATTCAGGTTAAATTATGTTACCAAACAAGTTCACTTCAGGTCATCTTTCTACCAATGAAATTACAAAAGAAATGTATCAGTTTTCCTAGCTTTTTGGATTCCTGTATTACTAGTAAGGGATTGTGAACCTATATTATTACTCCTAATTCCCCTTATTGTCTAGAAGAAAAACACCACACAATTGAAACTATGAAAACACTTCTGCTTTAAAGACCTTACATTGCTTAACATTTTATCATCTCAATTCTGCTGCATTACTTAAAAATGACTATACAAGGCTTCAGTAAAATTTTATATTATAAAACTTTTCTAAATATAAAATTGAGATGCTTATATTATCATAGTATTTATCACTATGTTGTTATATATTGTTTGTTCTTCTGTTTATTTTCTCTCTCCACTGTTGACTTTGTTCCTATCGTTTGATTTTTAAGAAACAAATAACCAAGGGCTTTTTCTTCTTCATCATCATATTCCAGTCCCTAGAACAGTACTTGCCTCACAGTAGATGTTCAATAAATCATTTGTTGAATGAATGAGCATATGACTATAACCTCAGAATAGGTAAAGTCTTATATTTTATTAAAATACAAATCTTATTTAAATGGCTATTAAATTCATATTATAAATATTGTTCCTGATTTTAGTAATATAGTCTTTCTGATATAGAGCAAAGGTAACATCATTATAATCGATTCTCTAATAAAAGGAAGATAACATGTCACAAATGTACACAGAGGGAATAATATGCCATCTAGTTTAATTGATTGCATTAGCAGGAAAGCCGTTCCCCTTTAACTAAATCTTACTTTAGCAAAATTTACCTGAGCAGCCAGCAATGCATTTTTTAATTCTTCCCTGGTAACTTCTGGAGCATCAGTTTGTCCAATTAAACCAATTGTGTTATTCTGGGAAGGTCTATCTTGCTCTGCTGTTTCCTTCAGATGAGCACTAAGGTAAGCTTTAGATGCAAGCAGATAACCATTCAACATATGCAGAGTGATATCCATCAACGGGGGACATCTAAACAAAGAAGAGAAGAAAAGAAAAATACATGAGAAACAATGAAAAATTATAAATTAGCCAGAACATGATCAATTAAGTTTAAATAGTTAGAAAAACCTAAACAGCACAGAGTAGTAACTTCTCTCACTAAAACAGTCTCAAAGTAAAAGCTTAATATCTTATTCTCTGTATTTTAAGATTATATAAATAGTATATTACCTGTTTCATCTTATCAGCTAAAATCAAATATGTATAATGTATTCTAAAGCAATGATTTTCAACTGGTATGCCATGAATATTTTTAAAGATCATTAATTAAGCTCGGCGCCCATAGCACAGTGGTTACAGCACCAGCTCCATACACCAAAGGTGGCGGGTTTGAACCCAGCCTGGGCCAGCTA